CAAATAAACTTTTTTCTGAGATGGTACCAATAACTTGATATCAGACTCATCTTCCTGTAGAAACTGCTCTCCTACTAAATCCCACATATCTAACCATGTGAGCTTCAGCCTTTAACTCTCAAATCAAGTGCACAACTGACAATTTGCAGTTTCTCTACCATTAGTTGTTGAATCAAACAATGCTGAATAATGTTATAATTTTTTGTATTTTCTCTGTATTTAATTTCACATGTTTATTTCCCAGCTGGTTCCAAAACATCTACTCTCAACATGATTTTGACAAACATAACCAGAGTGAGTGGCTTCCTCCTCCTGGGGTTCTCTGACAACCAAGACCTGCAAATCCTACATGCTTTGCTCTTCTTGCTAGTGTACCTGTTGGCCTTGGCAGGTAACTTCATTATAATCACCATCACAACGCTGGACCCACAGCTCCAATCTCCAATGTATTTTTTCCTGAAGCACCTTTCCCTTCTTGACCTCTCCTCCCTGTCTGTCACTGTCCCCCAGTCTATCCACAGTTCCCTGACTGGCAGTGGGTACATTTCCTACGCCCAGTGTGTGCTGCAGGTTTTCTTCTTCATATGCTTCGCTTGGGGTGAGGTGGCCATCCTCACACTGATGTCCTATGACTGCTATGTGGCCATCTGCCTCCCATTGCACTATGGGGTCATCATAGCTCCCAGAAAGTGCAGGTGGGCTGTGATAGCTGTGTGGCTAAGTAGAGGCATCCTGGGAACCTTGTACATAGCAACCACATTCTCTATCAGATTCTGCAGGGCAAAAATAATCCACCAGTTCTTCTGTGATGTCCCTCAGTTGCTCAAGCTCTCATGCTCCAATGATTATCTTGGAGTGGTTGGAGTGGTTGTTTTTATTTCTTTGGTTGTATTTGTCTGCTTCTTTGCCATCACCCTCTCCTATGTAAAGATATTCTCCACAGTCTTCAGAATGCCCTCTGCTAAAGGCTGGTCTAAGGTCTTCTCCACCTGTCTGCCTCACCTCTGTGTGGTCTCATTTTTTCTGTTCACAGCCGACATTGCATATCTAAAGCCAACCTCAGGCTCATCAACTGCTCTAGATCTCATGCTCTCCATGTTTTACACAGTAGTTTCCCCAATACTCAACCCTGTTATCTACAGTCTAAGGAATGAGACCATTAAGCGGGCACTAAGGAAGTTACTTTTAGGTGGAGAATTCATTGGAAAATGATCACTTTAATTTTGTTTTTAGTGTCTGATAACAGCAAACGCAAGGAACACTTTAGTAGTTTGAATGCCTTTAATATGAATGTTAAGAATAATAGTAGTACATCTTCTAGATAAAGTATATAATAAATCCTTAGTGCAACAAAAGTTGTAAATTTTTCCTATGATACTGAATTTGTTTTCATGCTTTCAAGTTCATAGAAGATAAATAATTATAATCTAGTAATATAACCACAGTACTTCCTTACTCTACCAGTTCATACAATGGTCTATGCATTGATTACCAACAATTTTCATATGAGTTTTGAAAACGTGTTAATGGGCAGTAATATAATAATAATAATGACAGAGTTATTATATTTGCTTATAATTCAATTCACCATGTGAGTCTTAATTTTAATATGTATCTTACATTTAATATGTATCATAAATAATGTGTATTAGTGCAAATATGTATGCCATTTTGTGCACATCCATATAATTTAACACTTATAGTTTTCATATCTTTAAGATATAAAGATATATCTTTAAGAATATACCAGTGAAATAACATCACACTTTCTGAAATATTATTCTATTTGCATATTATTTTATTTTTTGGTCTATTATTTTAAAATACGGAAACAAAAAGCATTTCAAATGTAGTTTCGAATTCATTATTATTATTCCCTACTTAATTTTCTGCTACAAATATCTTGTTTTTTATCGTGGAATATAAGTGGAAAGGCATTTTTCAATGGGGGTGTGTGGCGGTGAGTGTGTGTGTGTACATGTTTATGTGTATGAGTGCAGGTGCTGGAGCCACTGTACCCATGTGGAAGTCAAAGGACACCCTATGGATATTGGACTTTGCCTTTCTTCTTCTTATTTTTTTCATATTTTGATTCCCTGTTTTTACTCTTGCCTATGCCAGGCTATCTAGAACATAAGAGTTTGATATTTGTCTGGCCCCCCTTTCACTTTGCATAGGTAACAGAGATACAGTTACTTCTGTCACCTCCTCAGGATATTACATGGATTCTGGGGATCTGAACTCTAGCTCATTGGGATTGTGAAGCCAGCACTTTTAACCCACCCCCACGGCCTATAAAGCACTTTTCTTATTTTCTCACAGGAACATTTTTAGTGTCCCTACTTATCTTAATAAACATCATATTTAATAGGTCTGACGTGCTCAATTTTGAAGTAAAGCAAAGTACACTTTCTACTGTCCATGGGATGAACAATCGTGGAGTATTTCAGAAGAAACCTGTTTGCACTTTGTGAGTCTAAAATACCTTCCCACACCTACACACTTGATAAAGATATTTTGGTCTTATTTATTAATTTGGAGCTTTTCTTCTTTTCTAATTTAGAGTTGGAATTGGTGCTGCATTTTATGCTTGGTTAATAAGACATTCTATTTCTCTATATGCATATGAGCTGGTTTGAATGAGAATGTCCGCCATAGATTTCAAATATTTGAAAATTTGGTGCCCAGTTTGTGGCACTGCTTGGGGAGGGTCATAGAACATTTAGGTGGTATGGTCATACTTGAGGAAGTACATCCCTGGGGACAGGCTTTGCGAAAACATACCCATGCCCAGTTCTAGTCTATCTGTCTCTGCTCCTGTACCAGCTGGAAGGTATGCTCTCTCAGCTTTCTGCTCAAGCCTTATTCTGCTGCCATGCCTCCCCTGCCTTTATGGACTATCCATTGGAACCTTATACCAAATAAACTGTTCCTTCTATAAGTGGCCTTGATCATGGTGTTTTATCACAGCAACAGAAAAGTAACTGATCAGCATATATTGTTTAAAGAGCTTAAACATTATTTATGAAAAGAATTTCAAACTGGAGAACTGTTTATAAAGACAAAACAAACTACTGGATTTGGTGTTTGCCCTGCTGGGTTTTGGTCTTGTTTTGGTCCAGTATGTCCTTGTTAGCCCTCCAGTCCTCCCTTTTGGAATGGTAATTTGTCTTCGTATTTGGTTCCATTGTATGTTGGGAGTATGTAATTTGTCTTTTGATTTTCTAGAGGCTTACAGTTCAGATATTTACTTGAGTCTCACAATAGACTTTGGACTGTGGACTTTTGAATAGTATTGAGACTGATAATGACTATTGAGACTTTTAAAGCTGGACTAATTGCATTTTGCATTTTATATGGTCATGAGCCTATGGGGGGCCAGGGGATGGAATGTGAATGAAACCCCCAAAAACTCCAACTATTTGGACATTTTTCCCCACATGGTGGCGCTGTTTAGGGAGGTTTTAGAAGGGATTAGAGAATTCTTAAGCTTTGCTGGATCTAGGGTAGCTCTCGTGCTTCCTGTGCCTGTGATGATGTGAGAGCTTAGCTTCTGCTGCTCCGCTAATGCTACCTCCAGCCACCTCCAGCCTCCATTCCTTCCTGCCATGACAGTAATTCCTCTGTAAGCTCAACTAAACTCTTCTTTCTGTAAAAAAAAGAAAAACTATATATATATATATACTGACCATGGTGGTACACACCTTTAATTACAGCACTTGGGAGGCAGAGACAGGCAGGTTCCTATGAATTCAAAGCCAGCCTGGTCTACAGAGTAAGTTCCATGTCAACCAGTGAGAACTTGTCCCTCCAAATACATAAGTAAATAAATAATAAAAATAAGCATGGATGCATTGGAACATGATTTATGTGTATGTAGTATATTCCATTGTAATACCATACATAATGAACAGACTATGTACTATATCATATTATAATACTAAACATTATGATTAATAAGCTCTTCAGTTATGAAATCACCTGAGAAGGCTATTTCAGACCAACATGTAAAATCTTTTTAATGACTGCATGTTATTTGAATCAATCCCCCTTCAAATCCTTGCTCTTTATTGTCATTATTCTAAAGACTAAAGACTGTGAGCATCTTGATCCGTAAATATATTAAATTTCTATGAATTAACTCTTTGGCTTTATGTCATACAGTGGAGTTGCCTCTTCCATAAACCATTGTGTTTCCATGAACAGTTATTGATAGTCTCCATTAACAGCCATTAAGCAGAGAGTCTTCTATGGAATTAATTATTAAAACTGTTTTATCAAGGACTGAAGAGATCGCTCAGCAGTTAAGAATGCTCACCACTTTTCCACAGGACCAGAGTTCATTTCCTAGCCATGTTGGTGACTCACAGCTGGCTGTAACTCCAGCTCTTGGAAATGTGGTGCTGTCTTCTGGACACCACAGTTTCTTTCAATCAGGGCATATGCCCATACAAAGATACACACATATACACATAATTTTAAAATACTGAAAATCATTCTTAGAAAATAAATATCATCGTATAAAGTGTTTTCACTCACAAAGGTAATTTTACAAATCTCAAGTGAAAGAAAATACTGGTACAAATAGAGATAAATAAAAAATATATAATTTCTTGTTTCATTGAATTTGTGGTCATTGGCCATTCTTCATTTTTAAAGTGTAAGGGAAATGAGACTTTCCTAATGAGCATAAGAAATCCTCTTTAGCTTTTGCATAGAGTCTCATCACCAAGATAAAATTTCCCTTTTCACCGTATATTTACTTGAGAACTCAGTGCTTTAATTATGAGTGGATGTTGAATATATTCAAATTTTTGTAGTAGTCTTATAGTCAAAATTCTTATTTTGTCTAATGTTACAACATATGTACGAGCCGCACAAAACAAACATACAATGATTTTGTTCTTTAAATTTTCTGCTAGATTATGAAAAAAGTTTGAATAAAACACCAATGATTTAATATTTATTTTAAGTAGCTAATGATTTTTAAATATGCGATTATTTGTTTTATTGGGACGTGTGTGCATGTGCCTGAGTATGTATGTGTGACACAGAAGTGCAGGAGAGGGCCTTGGATCCCCTGTACCTGGAATTACAGGTTGTTGTGAGCTCCCTGATGTGGGTGTCAGGGATTCAAACTGGGTCTTCGGCAAGAATGGTAAGTGCTTTGAACCTCTGAGTCACCTCTCTAGCCCATGCATTATTATTCTTGAATCCTTCTGGATTTTGCATCTGTCATTTAGTATATATTCTCATTTTTCCAATTGGAAATCAGCCATGGAAATGATTAAGTAGCTTTTCAAAGTCATTCTAAGAAGGAATGATTGAACCAGGATCCACACCAGGGAATCTGACCCTAATGACACATGATGACACATGATGGATTGGCCTTCTCCTGCTTAGCAAAAAATAATTCCTCAAGTTGGCTACAGGTGAGAAAGTGACGCACATCACAGCATCAAAGCTTTGGAAAGGGAATCTATCAAAATTTGAAACAGACTACAGACAGGAGGTCATAGGGCATTTATTTATTTATTTATTTATTTATTATTTCTTTCTTTCTTTCTTTCTTTCTTTCTTTCTTTCTTTCTTTCTTTCTTTC